TTGTTTTCATGGCATTAACTTTCCAATTAATTTATTTAGAAAGGGGAAAGCTGTTTTTACCTCACAGTATCTATTGAGGTTTTCTACTGTTTCCCCCAAAATGTTCATGAGCACTAGTCACCCATAAAATAGAAACTGTGTCTCATCTACTGTGAACTGACCGATGTTTTGAGACCATGGGATCACTGATTTGTGAGGTGCAGTAAAACTATGTCATATGAAAAGAACCAGACCGGGGCCAAAGATAACAGTGTTATGTAGACTCTCAGTGGCCAGCGAAAATTTTGTTTTACCAGACTGTGTCCGTGTTTGGTCAGTAATGCTAAGGTGAGTGAAAGAACATTACTTTAAAGGCATTAAAGAACATGCCAACAGAAAGCATTTTCGGTGCAAAGCATTCCAAAATGGGACAGAGTAAGCATAGCGTGGCCAAACATAGCCTATGTTTTTCATCCCTGGGTGCCAGTGTGGGCAGCCTGGCTGCTGCTCGAGCATGTACTGCTTGAAAGCACAGCCAGTACTAGAAATCTCAGTTCTGTTATTCCCTTCCTCTTTCTTTCCTCTTTCTTTCCTTCCTCTCTCCCTTCCTTCCAGCCTGCATTTTTTCCTTTTGAGTGTCCACATGAACCTTGGTTTAAAAAAGACTAATTCCTATCTCATATCACTAAGCCTAATTGTTTTAATACTGTTTAAAATTTCATTTGTGAGGCTGAGGGAGGAGCATATTTTAGAGAAAACAGATTGAACCAAGAAAAATGACTTTGCCTGTTATTTAGATTTACTAGACCACACATTACTCATTACTGAAATAGGTTAGTGAACTGCACACTTCTTAGCTAACTTCCAACTCTAAAATTTCATGGTTCTAACTTTCTAATTTTGAACTATCTTGTGATCTTTCAGAAGGGTGATAGCTGAGTGTGTGTGCTTACCACCAAATGCCAGTAACTAGTCATCAATCTGATCAAACTTATAAAAACTTGAAATAAGTGGTATAATAAATAAATATTGTATTTAAACAAAGTCTCAAAAATAAGTATTTACACCAAATATATGGTTAGATGTTCTTGGTCCTTACATCGGGCTTATTATTCCACTCATTTGAGAAAGACTTCATGAAAGAAATGGGGTTTGAAGGAATTTTTAAATTTTGGGTTTACCCTTAAGTGCCCAGAAGAGATTTGTGTAATTTACACTGCTACTTTTGCTTTCCTAGTAAAAAGAGAAAATTTAAATGCCTTCTTTACTGCGTACTGACTATTGTTGAGAGAGAGAGAGAAGCATGACCAGATCAGATATCCTTATTCTGCCTATTTAAATTTTACCTATGTAGTTATGTGTCATCTGCTTACTAACTGTATGGAAATATGTCTTACATTTTAAAGTTGCACAAATGTTAGTATGAATTCTTGTTAAAAGATTGCAAAACTACCAGTCATGATTTGGAGTAAAATATGGAACAAATAATAAAGGCCTTAAAAGAACAGATTGTATAGAATTATTTACGGGGAGCTGAACCTAGATGAGGCACATCCTCCAAGAAGGTTCAGAATGAACTAATGTGCTAATAAGAACTGAAGAGTTCCAAAGGAATGTGCATTTAAGGTCATTTGATATTGTTCTGATGACCTCTTTACTGGCTGCTTAAATTTGATCAGCTTTGGGTTTTCTGCTGAACTAATTAAAAAAAGAAGAAAATATTATGAAATATAATCAACTGGCTTTCTCTCTTGTCAGACATGAAAATTAACATGGAAATTCTGCTTTCCTTAATCTTTCTTGCAGAATTAAAAGGAAGGCAGAAGATTTGTGTTTTAATAGATACACAAAGGCAATATTGCATTGCCTGTTCCTTCAGACCCTGCTTTTTTTCAATTGAGAATTTCCAAATCCTGACATAAACCAGGACAGTGCAATTTTGGGCAGAATTTCACAACTGTGCTGTTAAAAATCCTGTGTTAAATATGAAGAGGATGGTCAAAAGATGAGCCCTTAGAGGGGACTCACACATCATCGGTGTCACTAGAATATTTCAGAGTAAATTTCAAGGCGCCCTTCCTATTCTTTACTCCACTCTTGGGTTTCTTACCTCCAGGAGGGGTGTAGAAATAGTTGAGTTGAGCTTCATGCACCAACGTGCCCTTAAACTTGCCCTCGGTTTCAGACGGGTGACTGGGAAGTGGCTGGTATGCCGGCGTTGCGGGCTGAACAAGGGCGCGAAGCATGGCGGATTTCCAGATGCGCGCAAGTAGGTTGATTTTTAGAAATAAGTAAAGATCCTGCTCGTGAGCTTTTCTCCTTGTGAATTTTTAAAACCTAGAAACCATTCCCACAGTAACATCTCAGTGCTGTCCACGTTAATGCGGCCACACCACAGCGCTGCAAATTTAGGTTACAGGAATTACTTTTAGACTCCTGAAAACCACAACTTCTTTCTTGGTTCTTTTCAACCTCGTCTTTTTCTTTCTTCCCTGCTCTGCTCACTGCCTACATATGGACGGGCCTCTCCCCGAGTGGCTTTACAGGAAAACTGGGATTGAAATGTGAGGTTAATAGTTCCTGTCAGCCTGTCAACTCATCACCTCCGTAAAACATGATGATCTCTGGTTTTTATATGTCACCAGGAGCTATTCTGATACACCCTCTTGTGTAGAAGAGTGATAGGTCTGTCCAGGGGTCGGGGGACCTTAGGCCTGAGAGACAGAAAACTTCAGCTGGAATGTGCACTTTCATGTAACTCACTGCCCCTTTCCCAGGGGAAGGCAGCACAGGTTGCAAAACTATTTTAGAGAGAAAAAAAAATCTACCCCATTCTACATTTTATCTTGGTGCTGCCTTTCAGCAGCCAGGACTGTTGGCTATTTAAATTTTATGTTCAAACTAAATATTAACAAATGAAAAGAGCTATCTCAAAATGATCCATTTTAATCTGAAAGTCATGTTGCTTTAGAGATAAATGATCAGGTCCTAATCCTAAAGAAATCTCCTCCACAATGTCTTATATAACTTACAAACCCAGTCTTGCCTTCATTCTGCTTTGACATCTGAAAGATGTTGTCACAGCATTTTTCCTCCCTAAATCTGCATTTCAGTTATCTCATGGTAATGACATTGTCAGACTACTTTTCTATTTGCAGTTTCCTTGGCATCCTACCCTTATGAAAATCTAGTTCCTTATGTCAAATGCTACAAATGTGTAACATCAAAAAAAGTGACACCCAAAATATTTCTACTAATGTGTTCTACTGATGAGACACAAATGGCTGGGTTTTCCTCTGCCATTGGGCCTCGAATTTTTTAGTTATACTGTGTTTGTCTCCCATGCTACCACCTTTCTCCTTTGTTAGTTTTGGAAGACTCAGTCTCCAAGGGAAGGGCTGGGTAACCACAAGTTAGCCTGGGCTCCTTGTCTTGTAACTGAGATTAAAACCACCGAAACACATAAACGTATGTAGATTTATTGAGTAGTTGAGTGTCAGTGATCCAGTTTACTTTTACTTAAAAGAACATGAAGCTATGGGTGGGTTATATATGCAGGAATCTGTGTAGGCAATTAATTTGGATAGACTGGAAACAACCTTGAATAAAAAGTTTCAAGATACATATTTAATGATCTTGAGATGAAAGAATTTCTTTTTGACGTAAAGGCTGTCACAATGAATAGGCTTCAGAACTAAGATGTTCATTTTCAAAAGATTGTCACTGTTTTAAAGGGGAGTATGATATGTATATATTTCTAAGAGAATAAAATGGTCCTATTCAAGAAAGAGCTGGGGGTTTTCCACTTTGTCCATGTAGGTAGGTAAAATAAAGATTCCTGGTACACTAATACAAAAAGTTAATGCATTGCCACCTTTTGGCAAGTTAGTAATTCAGATTTATAGGGTTCCTTTTTAAGATATCTGCTTAAAATAGCATTGAAAAGACACTTCCTTTACCTCCTGTTATCTGAATCATTACTGACAGGAAGCAGAAATTCCATACCGAGGCACTGGTTAGGAGAGTGGGAAAAAAAGTTGTAGTTAAAATGTCACAGCTGTTTAATGACCAAATACTGTTCATATAATTAAACGTTTTGAAAGTTTAAATTAAAAAAGGTTTTCCTTTAAAAAATATATCTTGTTGGTTTTCATTACCCTGTAATAACATTGCTGCTATTTTCAATGAAGATTTGGTAAATGTATGTGTAGTTAATGTATCATTTGCATGATTAATACTACCAGATCCTCAGCTAGATATTTATAAATGTATTTTGGTACTGTTTAGCCTTTGCTATAAAAATGATGTAGATAGGCACATACCAAAGTATACAATTTATTTGAAAGTTGTTAAATGAATCAGTAGCAGCTATATTACACTACATTTTTTTCATTACTAAATGATAGTCATAGTCATTTCTAATCTTTCAACAGTTGTAAATTTTCTGTACAGACATGTTGAAGTCAGAGATTTATTACTGTATTTTATTTTTTCCTGTACCCTATCCTAACTTACATCTTACAAAACCAATTTCTCAGTTAACATATTCCTGGGAGAAGAAGGGAGAGAGGTTTCTAGGCCTAATTTGTGCATAAGCTTTCTGAATACTTAAAATAAAGTTGAAATGTGTGTGAGATGTGCAAATGGAGCATAGAAGGATTACGTTTCAAAGCCAGGAGCTTAGAAATTTTTATTTCATTTTCAATCTCCATTCATGAAGAAGCATTTACCAAATGCCTATTATGTTCAAGTGCTGTATTTTTAAGGATAACATGCTTTATTGTGTGTGTGTGTGTGTGTGTGTGTGTGTGTGTGTGTGTGTGTGTGTGTGTAAGACCACTGCAGATTTCTCTGTAGGTTTAAAAAGTTCCAATGCTAGGTTTTTAAGCTTTAACTCCAATGATTGGTTTCATTTATTCAGTAACTGTGTATTTTCCTTCAAGATGGAAAGGGAGTTGTTGTTGTTTTCCTTTTCGTAGTTTTGAGGATACTCTTAATTTGTTTGATGTGTTTTTTTGCAGTGTCCATTTATGGGATTTGGTTTTATGATAAGGAAGAATGCCAAAGAATTGCAGAGCTTATGAAAAAGTAAGTGCTGAAAGGATAAGTACTGTTTTTCAAGACCTGGTGCTTTTGTTGGTATTTCTTTTTTAAAGATTTTATTGAGGATTGGGGGAGGGGAACAGCATTAGGGAATCAGGGAAGGGGAACAGACAAGTTGCTGTCCATTTGTTCTTCAGTCTAGTTGTGGAGGACGTCGCTTCACTGGCCCATGTTGGTATTATCATTGTGCTCTTCCCGGGTGAGGCACATCGCTCGCTGGGCCCTGGATAGCTGCTCACGGCGGCTCTTGGCAGCTCACGCTGGCTGCCGGCCACTCACGCCGGCTGCTGGCCACTCACAGTAGCTTTACAGCAGCCCACTGCAGCTCCACTGCAGCCTATGCCGTTGCCGGCAACCCACGGCAGCCCAGCTCCAGGTCGAGCTGTTGTTCACCATCTTCACTGTAGAGGGCACAGCATCACTGGCCCATGTGGGATCCGAACCGGGGCCCTGCTGCTCAGAGCTGACGTCCCAAGTCAATTCTTAACCAACATGCCACTTGGACGGCTCTGTTTGTATTTCTAAGTTTGTGTAATGACACTGAATGTAGTCTGATATATATATTCTGATATATATGGGCTCTTCCAGCAGTCCTTTTCACAGTGGTTAGGAAAACATTTACTATTACTTTATAAATGGAAAATAGACATAAATACAACTTTTTACATTTTTACCAGGTAAGATTTACCATATGGAATGGTTAACTTCATTTTTTTCCTATATGTGTGAAATACGTGTACTATGAGTTGTTCCAGATGGCAGTTTTCCTTAATATCTTCCTTATTTGTAAATTAGCAGTTTTTTCTTTGAAAAGTTACCAGTATGTCTATAAGTAAAAAGAACATTCAGAGCCGTTCTGAAAGGCTGCTTCGGGTTCTTTAAGACCTTTCATTTTCTTCCTGCCTAAATGCTTTCCTTAAACTGCACACCCATGCTTGTAGGAGCTCAGAATCTCCTCACATCTCAGATGCTGTGAGTATTTAGGGTAATCTTTATTTTCCATCTCTTTGGAAATATCTGAGTTAATATTAGTTTAGTGATCAGGGCAATCTCTTTGTCTCTCTGTCTGTCTTTTGTTACTAGTCTATTTTTCTTTGAATCTCATGATACCTTGTGATTTGTGCCATTCTGCATTTTGGGAAACTTAAGTGACTTTCTGACTTGCACACTCTTGGCTTTTCTGATTGCATTGAAGGAGGGCTCAGGGAAGCATGCTGCCTCCTCGTGATTGGTCAATTCTTTGATCTGCTCTGAGCCCCAGGGCTGCTGCTCAGGCAGTTATCTCCCTGCTGTTGATGGAGAGGGTCTAGAGCCTCAGAATGAAATGAGTTTCCCACATGTGCTGTATCCGGGGCTGACTGGGCTGAGCACACAGTATGGCTGCTGCCCACACGATTTGACAAAGCAGCTCCTTCTGCAAAAGAACCATTTTCTTATTTTAAATCCTGGGCAATGAAATGACTAAAAAGTGGCCCCCAAAAATGAAACATAAGAGCACTTTTTTATAAATAATATTGATTTCTGAAAATCTAGCCTGTGATAGCTAATTTTGGGTAACTAGCTCAGGTTGCAGGTGGTGATTAAGTGTGTTCCAACCGGTATTTACCATGTAACAACTAGTTCCTGGAACATTCGTGTTATTGTAAACTGCAATGGATAGTGATAGCAGTATTTCATATAGATTTTAAAATACCCTGTATAAGCTCAGCCAAGAGGCCTTGTTAACATCGTTAGCATTCTGCAGTAACTGTGTAACAGCAGGAAATTGGTTGTTGACCAGCAACAAGAAGTTGATTTGTGTGGATTCCCAGCCCTTCCTCAGTTAGAATTAAATCTCTCAATAATTCTCAGATCTCTTTGACCACAAACTTCATGGCAATTGTAAAAGAATTTGAGCTGAAAGTCAAAGCACACAAAAGGGAAAAGTATGTTTCTCATTGTCACCCAGCAGCATATAAGAGCAACCTGGTCTCCCTTCTGTATTGTATGCAGGAAAACATTGCTGTTTTTTCAGTGCCCCCTCTTCTAGGATGGAGTCTTCCCTGTGTTTCTGAACAACCAGAGAACTTGCTCTGACTTTAAGGCACTTTGCAATGAAGGAGAAAATCGGATTTGCCATGCAGTTTTTTCAGCGTTTGAGAACGTTCAGTCGGTTTCCTCAGCAATTAATGAGTCCTTTCAAATGCTCTAAATGAGGAGTTGGCAAACTTCTTCTGAAAAAGACCAAATAGTGAATTTTTTTTTTGCATGGCCATAGGGCCTTTCTCATCACAACTCAAACTCAAGCCTGCCATTAGTGAGTGAAAGCACATAAACAAATGAGCATGGCTGTGTATGTAATTTTCTTTACAAAAACCCCAGGGTGAGGAGAGGGGGGAGGGGGGGAGCGGTGTGTGGGGGGGAGCCAGACTTGGCCTTGCAGGTTTGAGTTTGCCCACCCCTCCTCTGGATTCGTGTATCTAGTCAGTGTACTCAGGACTCAAGTCTCATTTTCTTCTTTCAATTCTTAAGCAGCCTTACTTCTAATATGACTATAATAGGATAGGATAAAAACTACTGGGTGAGAACTGAATGGTTTTAAAAATCATTTGTGTTGAATTGGTTTTTCTTTTGTGGACCTCCCCCTCTACTTTTCTAGCCTAACTCAATATGAACAGTTGAAAGCCCATCAGGGAGCTGAAGCAGGAATCTCCCCAATGATCCTCAATTCAGGAGAGGGAAAAGAAGTAGATATCTTACGAATGCTCACCAAGGCCAAAGATGAATACACAAAGGTGAGTTTCTGTTTTCCCGTGTGATACATACTTAATTCCCACAGCAGGAATATACTCCTTGAGAAAGACTTACTGCTATTCCTCCCCCCAAATAAAATTATATTATATAAAATCTTTATTTGCTTTTAGTAGGCTAAAGAAGATTGCTTTTAAGTGAATTAAAAGGTAGCCTCCTGAGAAATCAGTCACCTTCATATATACAAATAGTATCCAATCAGAAGATTTACTAGAATACCCCATTTACAATAGCAACAAAGTAATATAAATTCCTTGGAATAAAATTACAAGAAACAAGCAAAACCTATATGAAGAAAACTTTTAAACATTCCTGAAAAGTCATAAAAATAGACTTGAAAAATGGAAATATATGTCCTGATCTTGGATAAGAAGATAAAACTTCAAGTTCTTACTTCCCCATAAATTAATCTATAAATTTAAAATAATTCCTAAACAAATACAAACTGGTTTCTTTTCTTTTCTGGAGTCAGACAGGTTGATTATAAGGTTCATGTGGAAAAATATACAAGGACAAATACCTGGGAAAACCTTGGGCAAAGAAGAGCAATACTGGGTGGGAGAGAAGGAGGGAGCCAGCTCCCTGATATCCTACCTGATAATAAGGCATTGAAGCTTAAACACTTCAAGCAGTATGGTGCTGATGTGTAATCAGCCAGATGTACCAATGGGACAGATGAGATGGTCCAAAATGAGTCCCCGGTGTATATGAAATTTAGGATATGATAAAGGTGAAAATCTCACATCAGTTATTTGAATAGATTTTTAAATCGATCATGTAGGGATAACTAGTAGCCATTTGGAAAAATACAAAATTGGATCTGTACCTCTGCCATATACCAGTATAAATTCCAAATATATTAGAAATTTAAATGTAAAAATAAAACTATTCAACTACCAGAAGAAAACATGTATGGATTTCTTTGTAATATGGAAAAAAGGAAATCTTCCTAATTATGCCTCAAAACCAAAAAGCAATTAGTTTAACTACATAAAAATAAAAAATAAATGTTGCATAGTTAAAAAACCATACAAGCAAAGCGAAAAGATACTAAAAAGGAGAAGAAATATTTACACCTAAACAACAGAAAGAGGGTTAATTTTTTTATTGTATAAAGCACTTTTATAAAAATTGAGAAGTAAAAGATTAACACTCTAGAAACACAGGCAAAAAAATTAAATTAAGAAAAAAAATAAAACCCTAGAATTTGAAAATTAGATGAATAAAGGTACGTAAATGAATATCATATTATGACACAATTACTTAGAAAATAAATTAGAGTGACTTCAGAACCCCTTATTTGAACTAAACACCCTTAGTGGATTATATTTTAAGGACAAAAAAGAGCTCCCAAGAAATTGTCAACTTCATTCAGTAGTTTTATTGTTAGTAGTATTATTGGTGTTGTAATTTTTCAGCTGTTATGGGATATAATAAATGAGTACAGTTGATCCTTGAACAACGCAGGGGTTAGGGGCCCTACCCTCTGCCCCCCTACCCCCACCACACACACACACACACACAGTTGAAAATCTGGGTATAATTTTGACTCTCCAAAAACTTTACTAATAGCCTACTCTTGAGCAGAGGTCTTACTGATATAACATAAACAGTCGATTAACATATATTTTGTATGTTACATGTGTTATATACTGTATTCTTACAATACAAAGCTACAGAAAAGATGTTAAGAAAATCACAAGGGAGATAAAATACATTTACTGTATTTATTGAAAAAAATCACGTATAAGTGGATCTGCACAGTTCAAACCTGTGTTGTTCAATGGTCAACTTTGTGGTCAGAACAAAACTTTCAGTATAAGAGAAAAAAATTAAGTTAAAACTACATAATGTTCAATTTTAAGTGGAAATATCAGAATTAGTTGACATTTTCTTTCCTAAATATGTAGTTCCTAACTCTTTGCCTGCAAAGACCTAGAAATAAGTGACAACCCAGTAGCAATAAACACCTCTAGCCTCCAGATTATTGTTTTTAAATACTGTTCCCTTCTAAAAGGTATCAGGGCTCTTTAAAGAAACTCCTGACTCCAGTCTGGGATAGGAAAGTCACACAAATAGGGTCATGTGAACAGGGCACAGTATAGTCAACCTGAGGGGACCCCTAACCAAAGCATCAAATTCTAACACCAAGGATGACTGCAATGGATTGAAATCCATTGAATGTATAAAATCGATGAGTTCGTAGTGATGAAAGAGAGCAAGCAACCAAAAATATAACACAAAACAAAAAATAGTTATTGGCTGTCCTTGGAAGTACTAGGACCCCAGCTTCTTTCTCTGAAAAGTTGTAGTTAATGGAAAAGAATTAAGCATTTATTCTACCTGGCCATTGTGGACCATATTTAAGGTAACCAAATAGTCCTGGTTCATGTGGGAAAGTTCTCTATCAAAGAATTCCAAGAATTCCCCTTCTCAATGTAGATGGAATGATAGAAGTTAAAAACATCCTAGTAAAATAATTGATTGGGCAGTGATCATGAATAATGTTAATGTTATGAGAAGGGTTGATGGAAACTTGACCATGAAAGGATTGGGCTGCCATCACCTGAACTCACTGATAGCATCATTAAAAATTGAATAACCACACATTATGTGCCTCCTAATGTGATATAATGTGAACTATATAGCACCACTGAACAAGACCAGCTCACTCAACCGAACGCCCCTGGCTCGTCAGCCAGGAGCTTACCAAACGGGTCCCTGAGAGGATTGGGAAGGAGACGAGAAATAAAAGAGAAGAGACAAAGTGCGGGGACAGGAGGGACTCAGTCTGCTGGTGGCAAAACTGAGACCTCGTTTATTGGGCATACAAGGTTCTTAAGGGGAAGCGATTTTCTCATTTTAGGGAGCGATTCCCTAAAGCTAAAACTCATAGGCTGAGGAGAAACAATTTCTCCTCAGCAACAAGCTATGTTATACACAATATAAACCAATGATATAGCTAGGCAAGGTTAAACTGAGGCAACTAGAAACTGTCTATAAGTCCACAGTAGGAAGTCCCAAGCATGTGAAGCAGGTCCATGGTGGAAAGTCCCAGAGTGGTGATGTATGTTGAAACTGAAGTCTATAGTCCATGAGTCCCTTAGTCCATAAGCTTTTCCTATCAGCAAGCTGGGATCTTGACTCTTTGCACTTGTGTTGTCTGGAAGTAGTTTAAGGCAGAAGCACTGTCCCACAGGTCCCCACCAAACTGCTCCAAGGCCACTCACCCCAGGCCTGTATCTACCTGGAGACCCAAGCTTGCCAACCTAAAGCCTCAGTGTCCCTGGCTGATCCCAGCCAGCTCCCAACACACCACCTTGAAATATTCTTGCCAGAAGAGTTGATCCTGAATCTAAGTCTTGAGCTCTAACTTTCTAGTTTACAGAATATGAAAGGGGAGGAGGGTGAAGGTCAGGCAGGAAACACATTTGATGACACCACCAAGAAGCAATCAGAAAAAATCGCAGTGGGAGTTACTAAAGGCGACTGACTGGGTTTCTTTAACACAACTTTGACTTGATTGTTGGCTCACCCTGATTGATAGACTGTGAGCTCCTTGAGTACAAAGAACATCCCTTGTTCATCTTTCTAGCCTTAGTCTTCTTCAAAGTTCCTGGTACGCAATAAGTGCTAAATAAATGGTTGTTGAATGAATCTGAATAAACCGGAGTTTCATTTCCCTTTTATCACAGAGATGCTTTAATCTCAGCTTCAGTCAGTAACAACTATTTCTATATTAGTTGTTTATTGTGTTTGATTCTTCAACAGTCATTAAAAAGCATGCTAATATCTTGGCAACTAGTCAAATAATTGTACTTTATTAATTGTATTATATTAGGCACACTAAAGATTAATCTTGAAAAGTGACATTTTACTCTCTAGGAACTTGGTTGGGTTTTATGAAGACAGCATAACAATGGCCAATAAATAATGAAAATATTGAACAAAAATTATTTTCTCTTTTCTCCCTTTCTCCTCTCAGCGCGCGCGCACACACACACACACACACACACACACACACACAGAGTTTATAGTTTATAATGTTTTGACATCTTAAAAATCTTCTGGCTGGGGACAGACGCCTCCTCCCTGAGCTAGCCAATTCTTAGAGCAAAGAGCCCAGCCAGAAACACACCTGTGATGTGCAAACTAACCATCCAGAGCCACTCCTCCTCTACCTGGCCAGGTCTACCCTGTCTACGCAAGAGGCAGTATTCCTCTGCCCCTAATTAACAGGTCAGGTCAGGTCACTAGGGACCAGCCCTGGAGTTGAGAGCCTGCTGAAGTGCTTCAAACTAGCCAATCCTGAGGCGCAGAAACCCCAGGGAAGACTCTAGTCTTGGCTTTCCCCGTGCTCCTGTTTTTTGCCTCCTGATCACCCTGAAGCTTCCCCATGCGACCCTGCATGGTGGGCTGTGCCTCCCATGTCTGGGGCCTGTGAGTGTAAGAAACTTTGTTTCCTGAGCCTCTCCTTGCCTACTCTGGTAGCCGCATCTGACTGTCTCATAAAAGAACACAGAACACACACACACACACACACACTCAACGTGACTTTGGAGACCTCACTTTATACTATACCTACAATTTGAATGGTTTTTGCCCGTCAGACTCTACATGTCCTGCAAGTCCCCATTAAAATGCTACTTTCTACATGGAATTTTCCCGGGTCACTTCATTCAAGTTAATTCTTTCCACCGAACTCACCAGTCTATTATTATTTGGAACTTATTTTGTTCTTCCTCATTTATTACAGTTAAGTCAACTTCTCCCACTACACTATAAAATTACTGAGGTCGAAACACTGTTTTGTTCATTACTGTGTTCCCACAGATTGCTTCTTATAATGTTGACATGAAGTACACATATCTAATCAGTGTATAGACTATTTTTCTTTAAAATCCAGCACATGTTATAGACATAACATTCATCACTCCAACTGTGAGATAAATAACTGAAGAAATTATTCCTGCTGCCATTAACAGTCCGATGATGTGATGTAAACTTCTAGAAGCACCTGCATGATCATTTTATTCCCCTGGTCTAAATCCTTCTTGGTTTCTCATTCCCTGATGTGTGAACCTGTGGACTCTTCAAGCCTTCCCATCACATGGCCTCAGACTATTTTTCTAACTTTGTTACCTTCTACTCCCACTGCCCTCCACAAATATTTGAAAGTCCTACCAAACAGAATAACAATCTTACTTCCTCAAAGTGCCTTCGTGCCTTTTCCCATGCTATCCCCTCTCCTTTTTCACCTGTCAAATATGATCAGTTTTCAAGGCCCATTTCAAATGTTCTTTGTTCATCATGTTATTTCTGATCTCTGCACCCAGATGTGTATGCTCCCCCTTTAACATCCATTGCATCTTTATATTTGCCTTATGTTTGTGTTGTCTCCTCTGTCACACACCAACAGACATTTTAGGAAATGTGGAAATCATGAGCAAAATGGTTCTGAGGTATAGAAAAGGGGAGAAATGGAAACGGTAAAAGAGAAAAAACAAAATTTTTTTCTCAGAATTCGTGTTGAGCAGAAATTTTCCATATTTGGAAGCAGTCAAGACAAGACTGAATGATTACATATTGGGAATAGTATAGAAGAATTTCACTTCTCTAGATAAGTATTAAACTAAATGACTTCTGACATCCTTTCCAACTCTAAAATTCTTAAATTCATGGAAATGCCAAAAAGTAAGAGGAGGAAACATTTTCTGCATGAGGTATATGATGTTGGTAAAGGGAAGCCTAGTGATACCAGGTACAACTTCTTATGTGTAATTAAAAAAGTAATTTGAAAACCTTATTTGGATCAGTATTTTATGCTTCCTCCCCTAAGAAACCACTTTCTATGAATTTGCTGTAAAGTAGCAGTGATGTCAGTTTGAGCATCACCCTTCCTTCTAATTGAGATGCAAATGAACACTAAAATAACCAAAGCTCATTAAGGCCATAAATGATCTATAGGCTGCATAGATGGTTCTGAATATTCAGAAGTGGACCGTTTTGTGTTTGTGGTTTTAGGAAAGAATTAATTGTTCTCTTCTAAATATAGCTGTGACTTTTTTTATGAAATTAAAGAAATTATTAACTGTCTTTTGATGTTCAGTGAGGAAATTCACAAAAGTATAAAAAAGAAAATAAAGACCACCCAGATTCTATAACCCAAAGATGTCTACTTTTAACACTTTTAGTGTATTTTCTTTCAGAGTTTTTTTTTTTTTTAGCATAGGTACATATGCATGTTTGTGTGTGATAAAACAGGATTATGTGACATAGTTTTTGAGGCTTTAGAGAAGTGCCTTGGGTTTTCTAGAAAGAATCCATTATATACGTTTCCCAAAACTGGCTTTTTCCCCAAAATTTTAAAGTTATTTGGGTTGGGAGAAGAATAGAAAATTAAACAACTGGAAAATGAGCTACAAACTATTGAGGTGGATGATGTTAATTCTGAGCAATTTGATAGAGAGTGATTTTTATATAAAAGCAAGTCTTCATACACAGATAGACAATTATAGTGACATAGAAAAAAGCTTCTGGCAATTTTACTTAGAAAAGTCTTGTCTGGGGGTTATGCATAGCAAGAGACAGAGAGTCTCTTGGCCCGTATGGATATGTTCATAGTGAAGGTGGGAAAAATCTGGTTTTCTTTGCTTGAAATTCAAGGTCCCTGAACAGAGAGAATGAAGTACAGAAAGGGTCATTCAGGGAAAGTAAGCTGAGCATCCACTTTCTTTTAAATAGCAAGCAGAAGTTAAAGGCTTTTCATGTTAAAATTGTGTAAGTGTCATAGGCTGGATTCTTGTCTTGTGTTGGTTAGCCATAGTCGTGTCTTGGGAGGCCAGGCCAGCTAGTCCATGCAGCCATACCACTATCCACCATCATTCGCCTAAGAAGAATTAGAAATAACATTTTATGACTCATCAAGTGATTTCACATCCCATTTAATACTAATGTCAAAGCCAAATTATTGACAGAATTCTTGGAAGAAAATAATTAGTCCTTTGTACAGTTAATTTTACAAACCTAAGTTAACACAGTGCTAATTGACCCTGTACCTCTATATCCTTAAATTAGAAAATGCAACCCAGTAACTGTAAAACACACTGGGAACCTTGGTTTTTGAGGGACAAGATTGTGTTACTAGCTCATTCCAGGTCAGGACAGTGTGACATGCTTTCTGGCCCCGAGACTCTGACTGTGGAGTCCGTAGTACAGCAGGTAGCATGTTTACACTGAGTTTATGTCAGTGTTTTAACAAGTTAGACTCCTTTTGTCATGGATCCTACTGTGTTAACAATTCTATGGCTGGTTAGATTAACATATGATAATGATTCAGTATTTGAACTGATGAGGCATGTCTCTTGTCCCTTTCTCTGTGAAATTCTAATTTGTAGTGAGTGGCTCAGAACACTCCGATTTGAATTATCCTATTTATCCAAAAAGTCACTATTAAATAAAGATGAAGTTAGTAATTTTTAAATCACTGGTTTGAGTCAGCTTTACTTTTTGGTTGTAGACCAAAAAGGGTTAGTTACTTTGATGATGTAACTCTCCAGTTTAAATTGACTGCTTAATGGGTGAATAAAACCCTACTGCAATCCAGACATAGTATTTAAGGAATAGTTTCTGTCCTTGTTTATCATTGAAAAGCACTAGACTCTATATTTTTAAACTATTCTTTCTTAAGCATATCAATAGTCTTTCAAGTATCCAAGTATCTAAGAGCCTCTAGGTCTTGCGGACTGGTGATGCTGTTGGTAATATTTTAGGGCACTGAATTGTGCAACTAACAAAATTAAATTTGAATTTGATGTATACTCAAATGTAGCTCAATCAGAGGAGATTAAGGGATTTTCCTTTGTATATGAAACTATCAAAAAATAGCTACCAATTAGATAAAATAAAGAACAAGAAGGTATGTTCTTTTTAAAAGATTAAAGCTTCTTTTACACTAAAAATGAGGTTCTTTTTTCTATTTCAGTGTAAAACTTGTTCTGAGCCAAAACAGATAACTAGTTCATCTGCCATCTACAGCAACCCCAATCTCATCAAGCCAATTCCAGTGAAGCCCAATGAAAACAAGCAACAGCACATACCTCAGCCCAGCCAGGTACACAGTTTTATTTTACTTTTTTCAATTACAGTTGACATTCAATCTTATGTAAGTTTTAGCTATATAGCATAGTGGCTAGACATCAAGATTCTTAAAGAACCCAGAGTATATAGTCAAGGGAGGGCTTGGTGCTGTTCGAAGATGCCTAAGGTAAATCCAAAAAAGAGAGATGACAAATTAGAGATTTTTTTCATTATTAATAATTTACTATTCCTCAAAGGGGTTAAAATTTTTACTTTGGGCATTTACCGTACTCTGTGCTAATCTCTTGTGGACTTGAACTCCTTAGTGGATAATGTATTTTTAGAAAAACAACACACTCTCAGAATTGACAGGAATATTACCCACCAGGCCGGATTCTGCTGCGGTTGGTGGTTGGTTTGCCAAGGCCACTGAGAGAATGACAGCCACAGCAACAAAACTCAGTTTACCATTTCTGAGCACCTCCTTTGTACCAGGTGCAGTGCTGTATACATAGAGTGGGATTCCTGTCCTAGGGAGTGCTACAAAATTCTGCTTTAGACATGATGATTTGTCATTGTGTTTGCATCTAAAATAGTAACATGACAGCAGTTTTTGTATGAGTGTAAATACATATATCGATATTTCAGAATAGTAAAGCATTAACAAAATTGCCAATCTGCAAGGCCCATTACTGATTGTAAATAATGTGGCTATTTCCATTTCTTATGGTTATTCCTCATTAAAGTTTTTTTAAAAAGGAATTGGTTTAAATCAATTTTGAAAATGAACATGGAGCCAAAAGACATAAAGATTGATTAATGAAAGTCTTGTACTGAATTTTTTTTTAAGTCTTTTCTTATTATCTTTTTGCTTTCTTTTATTGTTTGCTTTTCATGGAAATTTTTTTTTTTACTAGAGAAATCAGAATATGTTGACTTGACAATGAGCCTCCTGTTTTCTTAGCCCAACAATACAGAAAGCAACAGAAAGAGGTACACATGGTATAGGACAGGAAGAAAGCAGCTTTGTAACTGGCCAGGCCAAGGTAGATTTTATCTATTTGATGATGTTTTTAAAGATACTAGTATATAGTTGAAAAGATCAAGTTAGATTAAATGATATATTTCTCTCCTGTCCTAAATTTCTGTAATTCTATGAAAAGCTACCAGGAATTCTGAAATCCTCATATTCCTTTGTATTTGCAGGATCGTCTTACACTTTGCAAGGTTAGATGCCTTCCTGTTGAAGAGATTGTTTAGCTCTTAGTACATACAATATAATTTTGTACCATAGTGGTCCCAAGTCTGTGAAACCCAGGCCCATTAAGGATCATACTTCTGTTTCATCAATCAATAGATATAACAGCTATCTTGGGAGTGGGAGGGGAGAATGCTGTGAAAATTTTTGGCATTAAAAAGGTCTCAAGTTTGTGAAGTTTTACAATTAAGTTTTTTCATCCTCTCTAATTGATCCTTTGTAAATAGAAGAAATCATCTATTAGGAGAGTTATGCCCCCCCATATTACCAAATTGTGTGTAGACCCGTTTTGAGACATTTTTATTTTTTCCAGACCTTAGACCCTGAACTCCAGCACTTGTCCTTGACAGCGCTCTTTGGGAAGCATGACAGAGCCCGATGTCAGGAAACTGGGAGGCCTCCACAGACCCTCCACCAGCACCAGCAGCAGCAAGAGAAGCCTCCAGTTAGGCAGGGGGTTGTGCGTTCCCTGTCCTATGAGGAACCCAAAAGACACTCGCCCCACAATGAGAAGCAGTTCTGTCCAGCCATTCAGAAACTCCTGGTCAGGAGTGCAGACCTCCATCCATTGTCAGAGCTTCCTGAAAACCGACCCTGCGAAAATGGCAGCACCCACTCTGCTGGGGAAGTTTTTACTGGACCTGATCAGTCACGATCTCCCCAGGCTACTGGGACTTCTCATTGTGTGCACAGTGCTTCCAGAACTCAGAACCTGTTCGAAAAGCTTCACAGTGCCCCAGGAGCAGGGAAGTGTGATCCCAGTGCACCAGCCCCTGCCAGCTCAGCTGCCCCAGGCTTCAGCTCGGCCCTGACTGCTGCCGCCCCTGCCACTCAGCCACAACTGGTACACTTCAATGGCTCCCTTCCGCCTCAGGCGCTAGGACGTCAGGCTCCTGGAAGAGAACAGTCTGCATGCCCAAGACAAATGCTCCCCGTCTCTGGCAATCAGACTAGTGGTTCTGGAGTGATCTCCCCTCACGAGTTACTGAAAAAGCTTCAGATTGTGCAGCAGGAGCAGCAGCTGCACGTTTCTCACCGACCAGCCTTGGCAGCCAAGTTTCCTGTGGTGACTCAGAGCTCTAGACCAGGGAACCCCTTGGAGTCCTGGATCAACAAGACATCCAGCACAGAAAGGCAGGCTCCTCTTTTCCAGGTAAATATCTACTGGGGTGGGGGTAAGATGGGGGGTTATTACTGTAACGCAGTGAAATTTAGAATCGGACTCTGTGTTCTAGGGACCTTTCTGTTTAGAATAGGGTGCCAAAGCCACTTCTGTGCCTCTGATTATCACCTTAACTTCCTGCCTGGAAAGAGAATCTTTTCTTTGCTAAGCAACCTGGGAGCCTCCCTCTTTTCAGAGATGCTTTATTTGTAGTTAAATCTTTGCACTATTTTAAGATCTGAAGACATGGACATGGACATAGGAAAAAACATAGACATGGGGGGAAATTCCCTAACCTCTGACTATGCAAACTTATGGTCTGCTTTGAAATCATTCTGGGATGGCAAACATCTGACCTCTTCTTGTGATTTCAGTCCCCAGTGAATTGTTGTTTATCCCTTTACTTGGTAACCATTTCTGAGCACTACTCCCAGCCAGCCACTGTGCTTGCGTGCGGTACATTGTGATAAGGGCACAGACGCACTGCCCAGCAGAGCCCACTGCCCTGGGGGCACTTGAAGGCAACAGAAAAAAACGGTTAAAGCCTGAAAGGTGCAGCCAGCTGTTGTCTGTGTCACAGCACAGCTTCATGAAGGTCAGGAGAGGGATGAGTGTGCATCCGCCACACCCACCCACATACACAGACTTCCAGATGGGAGGAAATAGTCTATCCTTCAAAGAAGATGGCGCTCTGTGTTCATCATAACTTAAAACAGTGAGAAAACAACAAGGTAGTCCATTGCCTGAGGGTAACATCTGGAGATCGGACTTTTTTTCCCCATTTGAATTAGTACAAATTCACTGAAACTGCATTGAGTTTTAAAATTAGGAAGTTTTCCCTATGTGTTACACATATCATCTTTGGTGGTTTGTCATGTTTTGGTAAGTAGCTTATAATGGTTCCTCAAAAATCATTCACTTTTTTTGAAAGCATGAAGATTGTAAGCATGTAGCATAAGTCTGTGTCTGAGGCCTGCATCAGAGTGCTCTGTTTCTGATTAGTTAAATCTCAAATCCGGGTACCTACTGCTATAGAAACAGAGTTTGTCACTTGCCCTCATCCTCACTTCAATGTAATATTGTCCCCTTTTTTACATCTGATTTTTTCTCTTTGGTGATTTAGATCAGACACTTGGAAAATTGGGATTGATGATTTGACATAAATGTCCACACACACAATTCCCTTTTCTTTCCAGTGCTCACAGGTGTGGAGCCGAGTAATAAGCACACACTGTCAGCCCACACTACTCTTAATAGTGCTGCCTGTCCCCTGCGGGAGCAGATAGGGACAGTTAAGGAAACAACCTGCCTTCCTCAGGCTCATTTCTGCCCCCAAAGCTACCAAGGGAGTGACCATAAAATCACAGCAGCTCCTGGATTGCTGGCTTTATGCCCTCTCCTTGAGTACTTGTAGGGCATTTGGAGGTCGATAAGTAACATCCTTTTTCTCACCTGAGTTAGAAACAGATGAGAGAAAGCTGTAGGAGTCAGTCAGGGATCACAAGGTCACTTGCATAACTGGAGAAGCCATTGGAAAGCTTGGTTTTAGGTCTGTTTGCTGAGTGAGGTGACAGACTCGCCCAGACAGATAAGTCGCAGGCAGTGCTGGGCACGACCAGCCCCGGGGGCTGCCCCTGCAGCCTGAGTGTGGGGAAGCAGAAAGCTACACTCTGCAAGCAGGCAGGTCCTATCAGGAAAGGACCCAGGAGGAGTGGACCTGAGAATCACGCCTCGCTCCTGGTGAGGAGTGAGGAGGCTGCTCTCACAGCGGCTCCTCCATGGAGAAATCAGGAGTGGAGATGTGTGTGCCTCCAACTCGCACAGATCAGAGTAGTAGACAGCGAGGCCCAAGGAAAAGGCCAGCAGTCCTAAATGCATGTTGCCAAGTGATGACAGTAAAGCAGGAAAATAAAATACGACTTCCGAGGCCAAGCTTTATATGCAGTGGGAACAGTAATCACCAAGCAGCCTGTCAGAGCTGCTTAGAAACGACAAGGGAAGTGTGTGGAGAGCTGACCAGGAACCAGTTCTCCTCAGCTTTGCCCATCTGGAAGTTGTCAACAATTAAGATTTAAACTCATCTCTTCCCCTCCTGCAGATGAGCGGCCTCTGTCTCTGTACCTGTTGTTTCAATGAGTTGCTACTTACTTCCACCCTCTGTATGTATTTTCCATGAACAGGTCATCTCCCCTCAGCCCATTCCTACTACGGCGGCCCCTTCCCTGCTCATGTCCCCCATGGTGTTCACACACCCCACCTGTAACCCAACGCAGAGGGACAGCGGGCTCTTGCCACTGGGAAGCCAGGACCCAGCTGCTGCCTCCGCCAGCCTCCTGCTGCCCCTGCAGAGCTCAGAGCCCTCCATGCTCACCAGCAGCCCACTCACCAAGCTGCAGCTCCAGGAGGCCCTTCTGTCCCTCATTCAGGTAGGAGGGGCCATCGTCTGCCTTCTTCTTCCTTTACCAATGCTGCTGACTTGATGGGTGCCACTCTGAATTCAGACACAGCCAGTGCCTACTCATTACTCCCCAAGAATAAGAGGATGAGGAGACAGTTCACCCTGAACTACAGTGGCTCTGCACTTAGTTAGCTGGATGACACGCAGAATACAAACTGTGGCTCCTCAAGGGTTTTGTAATCTGGGGGGGCCGCCTGGGTCCTCCAAGCTGTCACCTGTCAGAAAAGAAGGAAGCATACAGTATAGAATTAGGGAGCCACTGAGAGGATTCTGGGTGCTGTGGGGCTCCCAGGGGCCAGCTGGAACAAGTGACAGCACTTAGGGGACAGTCTGAGCTGACTGTCAAGCAAGGAGCAGGCTGGCAGACAGGCAAGTAATGGCCGTGACCGCTAAGAGCGTGTTTTACAAACAGTTTTGAAGCCTGCTGATTAGAACAGGATAGAGTGACGGGACTTCTTTAGTAGCCACATGTCTTCCTTGTCTCGATGAAATAGTAATAACGACAGTAACAGCTCCCACTTCCATAGAGCTTTGTGCCAGGCACTGTTTTAAATGCTTCACGGATATTAATTTATTTAACCCCTATGCAACAACCCTATTGTTTTTCCTGTTTTAGAGACAAGGAAATGGAGGCTAAATGACTGGCCCGAGGTCACACAGCTATTAAAAGGGCAGCACTGGATCCAGCCGCTTGGCTCGGGAGTGCCCCTCCCACACTGCAGCGGGTGGAGGGTGGGGTGCAGGGCTGTGGCCTGGATCGGCCTTGGGCAGCGGGTGGGCAGCTCTCCACCTAGCAAAGCACATCCAAAAATAAACTGGCCTTGAAAAGGGGAATGCTTTTCTCTAGACAGACTTCAGACACCTCAGTTAAGGTATTTAGGTGTTTTTGTGATAGTCTTTAAGAACATTTTTGTGGTACTTTGCTTAAGCTTCAGATGGCTTTTAGGAAGCAGGCTAGCACTTTTGCAGTTGTCTCATTCTACTTAAAAAGAAGGTGGTCTCTATTAGTAAAAACATTAAAAAAAAAAAGATTTTATTGGGTAATTGGGGGAGGGGAACAGACAAGTTGCTGTCCTTTTGTTCTTCAGTCTAGTTGTGGAGGACGTTGCTTCACTGGCCCATGTTGGTATTATCATTGCGCTCTTCCCGGCTGAGGCAGATCAGTCACCGGCCATTGGACCAGCTGCTCACAGCGGCTCTTGGCAGCTCATGCTGGCTGCCAGCCACTCACGCCAGCTGCCAGCCACTCATGGTAGCTCGCTGCAGCCTACATCGTCGCCTGTGACTCATGGCAGCCCAGCTCTAGGTCGAGCTGTTGTTCACCATCTTAGCTGTAGAGGGTGCAGCGTCACTGGCCCTCATGTGGGATCTGAACTGGGGCCCTGCTGCTCAGAGCTGGTGTTCCAAGCCAACTCTTAACCAATGCACCACTCGGCTGGCCCAGTAAAAACATTTTTAAAGGGAACATATTTTAAAATAAAAGGAATGGGCTTAGAAATCAACATCTGAGTATGAAAGCAGAAGAATAATTTTCTAAAGATGGGCAGCAACTGAGTGTGCCTTACTCACTCCCAAGTATCAGCATATTGAGTGTGTTCCAACCCTTTCAGCCATTTGTGATAAGTTCATGAAGACTTAGATGGGACGTCTGTGAGCAATAAAGGAAAAAAGGCCTTTACATTCAAATGTTAAAGTTTATTCCATTTAAATCACCTTGTTCCAGAGGCCTCTGTGCAGGAGCCAGGACTCTGAAGATCTAGAGCAGCCCCTCTGTGTTGCTAGTTAGAAATTATATTTACGTTCCCTCCACTCGCTACATGCATTTTACTTTTTCCCAAGTTTCAGACATGTTTTCCTGATCACCTGTTAGAAGTCACTCAGGCAGTCTGTTTGTAGCTTTTGTCTGTTCTGGGGCACAGTCTCATGCATAGGGACTTTGTGGCCACTTTGTAGGAAAAACAGGGCTAAGTAGTTCTCCTTGTTGCGTGAGAATAATGCTGTGTGTGGGGGATGCCAAGAGAGGATGACGGGGAATGTGAAATGTGGGTGAGTGACTGAAGTGTTAAAAGATCTGGGTGGGAGGGAGAAGTCTCCAGAATTAAAAACAAAACCGCTGATTAGACCTGTGACTCTCCCTCAGCCCTTAGCCGGGTAGAAGAGCCCAGAGATTCCAGTCTCACTGCTGTCCACTTGCTGAGGCTAAATTTTCCATAACTAATGGGAGAGTTATACTGGCTTTGAAGTGAAGCACATTGCAAGTACAATCCTAACGAACGCCAAAAACAAAGTATATGCTTTAGAGGACTTTTAAGAGCCACTAGCAATTCCTAACCAAGCTTTGAGAACCGCTAACCTGGATCACCTCCTCCCTACCCAGCCTTCTTTGGGGACCTCTGTGTTTTCACCAGCAGACCTGGGCTTTCCACAAGTGACCCTCGTTCCATACACCACGTGGCTGGGTTGCCCATCTGTGCTGTGTGCAACACACTGGTTTTCAGTTGAAAACCAGCACGGACCCTGCCTGGCCTCACCTTCAACCCCACCTAACATTCACATGCGCAGTTCAGAACCTAGCAACTGTTAGAGCAAGCAGGTGGAGATGAGCATCTTAGGATCAAAATGCTAGTTCAGCCCAAGCGCAGAAGGAAGCCTTTTGTTTCTGCCAAACAAATCTTATTCCCTTCGATCTTTTTTTGTTTTCCAGAACGATGACAACTTCTTAAATATAATCTACGAAGCTTATCTCTTCAGCATGACACAAGCAGCCACGAAAAAGACTTTCTGAAAGCAGATCATTTTCAAATGATTTTCAAGGTCTTCCAGCTCAAGGTTCTTTCATGTTAAGTGGTGTTACCCTAAATGTTTCTGCCTTTTTAAAAAAGTATGTATAATATGAAGTAAAATATTTCAGACTTTCTTTCAGTCAAGGTTTTAAAAGAAAAAAAAAATTACATCCCTCAGTACACTGGTACTAAGACTTGAGTGGGTAGAAAGTCCTTTGCTCATATCACACAGTAAGTGCAATGCTTAAATTATTTTTTTCTTACATGTATGGGGCCATTTCGAGAAGATTTAGCCTCTCCATAGGGACGGCTGTTCTGAAAACTTGGTTTCTTTTCTATTAGCTCTGGTTATTCTGTGAACACTGTGTAGGTCCCATTGCCGAGCTCCGTGTGCTACTGTGATGCTGACCACCAGGTGGCAGTGTCCCCTCACAGACGAACCTGCACGGCCCTTACCCAGCCTGTGGAAGTAATGCTGGTTTCCGGACAAAGTAACCTTTTATTTGTAAAAGTCCAATTGGCATGTTTTCCCCGGGATTCTGAAGGGAAATTATTTCTAAAGGTATTTATAGCTGGTTTGTAGAGGATAGCCGTTCTAGGAGCCCACAAATGGCCCAGATTTCCAGTAACACTTCATTTATCCCCGCTCATGTTGTTTCTTTTGGACCAACCAGCAGAGTATGCCTGCCTGTGCTTCCAAATGAACGTTTTATCATTTTTAGCAAAACGTGCTGAGAAGAAGGTCACAGAAGATTTTAAAGCCTTTTCTTAGCCTCTGAGGATAGATAGTAGACTGTTCAGGGACATAATGATATGGATTCTTCAAGCTTTGAGCAGATTGATTTTTATGTTCACAGAGATGAGGAGCTTAATCTTGGAAGGAGTCAGACGAGCCCTTGCCAAGCTGTTAAAAGCCCAAAAGAGTGGGCATGGGGATTAGTCCCTGTGGAGTATTAGTAATAAATAAAGCTTTGCATTTCTACAGCCCTTTTTATTCCTGGATCATAAAAAGATCTCTATATGACTGCACAGAAGACAGGTTTTATTCTCCTTTTATAGGTCATAAAAGGGTGCATGGGAAAAGTAGGTTTCCTCACAGCTTCTGAGGTCAAGATTTGGGCTTTCAGCTTCAGACCCTAATTCAGGCATGCCGTCAAAAAAGGGTTTATGGGAAGACCACCTCCCCACTTCCCACAGGAGTGTACTTTTTCTTCTGAGGAGGAGAATTGGGCATGACTCTTACTGAACCCTTGTTTTGTGCCATATTCAGGCTGAGGGGCCTACTGGCACCTCCTACATTTAGGAAGGAACTGTTTCTTTTGTTTCTTTGATATCTCCTACAACATCTAACAGAGTGAAAAACGCTTGTGACTTTCTAACAAAATACTTGGAATTATATAATTGCTTAGATATTTCAGTGTTCTTATAAGGAGAATGGGTCAAGGAGAGAGACACACATGGATCTGTTACCCCAAAATCAATGACTGTGCTCACTTCAGCAACACATATACTAAAACTGGAACAAAATCAATGATATACTTCACTACTGGCCAAACTTTAAAAAAAAAATCTCTTTGATCTTAATTACATGTTTAGAATTACTTCTCTTCGCTAGGGAAAAATTAATTACATTTTAAATGTTGCTAATATATGTGGGGTAGCAAATGCGTAACCTCATGAAATATTTCTTTTTTTACTTCAGCATTAAATCAAATGAAATAGAAAGAAATATCAAGAGTAGCACCTAATGTGAAAAGGTGCACATGACATGACAGAGGCAGGAACCCAAGCCCAGCATGGTCAGACCTACACTGCCAGCTTCTCTCAGGCCTTTTTAGGTCAATGCCACAGTGATCTGTTTGAAAAATAATAAGTTTCCCATCCTTTACTGGAATGATCTACTTTAAAAGTGACGGTCCAATTCATTTAAACCAAAGACTAAGCCTCCCTCTTAAGGTATATTTGGTGATGCAGTGCTTATTCGTTCTATATGGCAAAGCAGGTAAGAGCTTCTTTGTACAAAAAGCCTTCTCTAGAAAGAGCCCGAGAAATAGATTAAAAGGCACCCAAATTTAGATTTCATGTGTAAATTAACTTTTTTTTCCCACTCTGACCCCAAATTGTGAGACCATCGCAGACCCCACTCCTAGGTGTCACTGACTCCCAGACAGCAGTTTTAAGCTAATAAAATCTCAAATGGAGCCCTGAGATTTTGTTCTTAAAGGCAGCATTATCCAATGCAGTGGATTTCAACCTTGGAGAAGTGAGGAAGTCAGTTCTGCCTGGTGTCGGGGACAGATCACATAGCCTTTGTCACACAGACTTGCCTTCCGTTCCTGGACAAGTGAACTTTTACAGCACACTGATTTCTGATTTGTAAAATGAAAGTAATACCCACTTCACAGGGTCCTTACGAGGATCAACTAGGACAACATATATAAAATGCCTCCTCCTGCCATGTCCTCTAGAAGGACGAGTTCCTTCCTGCCCCCTCTGCCTTGTCTGTGTGGTCAGTCCTCCGACCGACTGTTGGGATGCGGCCTGCAGCTGAAGTGGTCTTCACCTGCCAGCCACCATGACCTACGTGTTCAGGCTGATATTGACACATCGATGGTTTCTTTACTGTGCCCTCTTCTCCCTTCATTCCTTTATCAATAAAGTGAAAATAGTTATGCTTATCCCTTCATACCAAAGGAAGTGCCATGAGCTCTATAAGACAAAGATGTCAGTTTAACCCAAGATGGTACAAGGTGTGATCAAACAATATGGGGAATGTTTAAATTTTTTTAAAAAAATTATTACAATAAGACACATTGCCATTAATCCCCTTCAAAACACTCCCCCTCACTTTGAACACACTTGTCCCATCATCCTTGCCACTTTCTGAAGCAGTTCTGGAAGTCCTCTTTTGTGAGTGTCTTTAGAGACACTGTCATTGGCTGCGTCGATGTCCTGAATCATTTTAACTTTGAGGAAGAGCCAGAAGTCACACAGTGCCAGATCCGGTGAATAAGGTGGATGAGGACACACTAATTTTTTTTTTTTTAAGATTTTATTGGTGAGTTAGGGGAGGGGGACAGACAAGTTGCCGTCCTTTTGTTCTTCAGTCTAGTTGTGGAGGACATCGCTTCACTGGCCCATGTTGGTATTATCATTGCGCTCTTCCGGGTGAGGCAGTCGGTCGCCGGCCCTTGGACGGCCTCTCACGGCAGCCCACTGCAGCCCCACTGCAGCCTACGCCGTCGCCAGCCACTCAAGGCAGCCCAGCTTCAGGTCGAGCTGTTGTTCACCATCTTAGCTGTACAAGGCACAGCATCACTGGTTCATGTGGGATCCGAACCGGGGCCCTGCTGCTCAGAGCTCACACTCCCAAGCCAACTCTTAACCAACTGAGCCACTCGGCTGGCCCCATAATTTTTTTGATAGAAATTGCCATACCAGAAATGATGTGTGACATGGAGCATTGTCATGATGGAGAATGGATTATGGAACACTTTAAAACACACCTTTTCTCAATCGTAGTTCACACCCGACTGACTGCACCAAACAGGTTAAAACTTGTCACACACTGTTACTAAGGTTCAATGCGCCATTTCCCGTATTGAAGATCCCTGCCTTTCCATTGGATGGCACTTGGCAGCAGTATTCACTGTATTGTTTAATCACCACGGAAAGGCTTCGTGTCACACATCACTTCTGGTACAGCAACTTCTGTCAAAAACTACGGTGTGCCCTCATCCACCTTATTCACCGGACCTGGCACCATGCGACCTCTGGCTCTTCCCCAAAGTCAAAATGATTCAGGACATCGAGGCAGCCACGACAGTGCAACTAAAGGCAATCATGAAAGAGGACTTCCAGAACTGCTTCAGAAAGTATTGTTACTGCTCTACATTTATGAGCAAAGCACCATTTTAATTGCAAAGTGAGAGAAGGAGTGCTATTTAGTAGAATTTATAGTCCCTGAATAGCCTGAAAAGACACAACGTTGCTCAATCTCCCCATTTAGAAAGCCAGGCATAGTGGCCATTGCAGAACGAGAGAAACCTTTGTTAGGATCTTCAAGAACTCTATTATGCTGTCCCAGCCCTGCTGATACCCACAACTGGCTTCTTCCAAGTCATCCAAAAGGTAGGTAGGCCCAGGGCAAAAAAATCCCAGGCTGAGGCTCTCCTATGAAGGCACACATTGTTTGCATCTGGTAAGTTCATCCTTTCCTCAAACACTATTACCCAACACCTTTCTCATGTCCCGGGGACACACAGGACTCTGCTTTCTTCCTCTTGAATAAGGAGGGTGCAAATCAGAGAAGAAAATGCCTTTCCTCCTAAAGAAATTCCAACTATTGAGTAACATTAGCCCTCTTTTCTCTTGGGTGCTAAAGGGAAAACCAACAGTTGACACAAGGCTTATATTCCTGGGTGTTAAATACTAAGGATGGGAGGTGTCGCATCACAGACCAAGCCTCTGAACACCAGGTTTCACTTGGGTTCAACCATATGCCAGTACAAACACAGGAGAGGAGAGGAGTTCAGTGTTGAACTCTAAAGACAGTTCTTTGTTCGGCAGGGGTGCAGTGGGGTGGAAGTGTGGGGTGCAGTGTTAGGAGTGATATCTTCAGACCCGATGGGCAAATTGGCTGCTCACCCCTCCTAGCAACAGAGACCTTTTCCATAGTGCTCGCTCTGTTCAGACACATGTCTATCAACAAAAGTAGCTTGCTGCCCAGGCTTTGTAATGTCAAGCCATCTTTAAGGTTAAATTTATTATTTGCAACCAGCAGGTTGTAACGACACTTCATCATGCAGTTGCCTAGCTGCACAGGTTGTTGGGTCTCACTAGCATTTTGCTGAATACTTGATTTTAGGTTTCAAGTGCTCACCATCCTCCTCCCTCTTACAATTAAGGGAGTGAGAGAGGCACTTACAAATACTTGGTATATTTAACTCAACCTTGTGTATCTAGATAGATTTTCACCAAATTGGCTTATGAGTAATGCCTCCCAACAGCTCAGAGCCTTGAGAAAAGTACACAAACAAAAACTGTGCAAATTATGGTTTTAAAACACCAAGGGAGGTTGAAAGCAGAGCACTGTTGGTAACGTACAGGGGCTGGGCAGTGCAGAAAGGCACTGTGGCCCTGAGCCAGCCAGCACAGCCCAAACCATGCAGCCCAGGTTTCTCGGACAAATTAACTAAGGGCACAGCAGGAAGGAAGTAAAGGATGTTCTAACTAGGCATGAGAAAGGGTGGGAGACCCTACAGTTATAAGCCAAAATCTAAGAATTTCCCTAAAAGTCTGAGGACCAAGAGTAAGGGCACTAAATATCTAGTTAAGATAGAACACCCTGCCGAGGTTGGCTGGTGCTAAAATAGACAGATGCTCATGGAGGTGGTGGGAGTCCACATGCTGAGCAGCAATAAGGCTACCGGTGTAGAAGACTAGATATTCTCAGGGGTACCATGATGGAAGTTGCAAGTCCCGTCCAGCTGTGTCCACAGTTGATTCTATAGAAGACATAACCCTGGAAAAGGAAGCTCCAGCTCCTCCGAGAGATTTTTCTCACTTCCTACCACCTGGCTGGTAGGTGATGCCAATCATGCCTTTCTCAGCACAGAGCCTCAGTAATCCATATAGGAGCTCCAAAGACCAAGATGGCAGCCCCAACCAACATCTAGCTCGCCATGAGCTCCTTATTTCACATGATATAGTGTGAAGAACATGTACTTAGAGTCAAAGAGATCTGGAGTCTCACCCCACCACCTCCTGTCTCTTTCCTCAACCAAGTCAGTGTCAGAGGGGAAAAAAATTATTTTCTGTGTGGTTATCATGCAAACATAGAAATTGTCACTGTGGGTCAGAGAATGGCCATTCATTTTCCACAGTGGAGTTTTTTATTGGACAGTGTCCCCATGGAATGTGCCATGGAAGTGGGGCTGGCTCTTTTAGTCCCATCAGCCTCAAAGGTTAGGTGTATCT